TCATCTTCAATTAGAATTTCTCTAGTCTGAGGACTTTTTCCTTGCTGGGAGTGGTCTTATTAAGACAAGTTGATGAAGTTAAGATTATGAACTGCACTTCTGTAAACCTTGACCAAAAGTATATAACCCTGACCTCTGCTTGTTTGTCTCCTTTCCTTCTGCAGAGTGGCATTCTTTCCCTTACATATCGGGGACCATGTCTTTATTGAGGAAGACTGTGTGGTCAATGCAGCTCAGATTGGTTCTTATGTTCACGTTGGGAAGAACTGTGTGATTGTGAGTATGGTGACTCTAACGGGCTAAACAGCCTCCCTTCCTCCTGGCCCTTTTCCCTCACATTAGTGTTTCTCTGACCAGGCAGGTAGGAGGGTCTTGCAGTCTTCTGGAGATTGGGTCATTCTTGCTAAATTTGGAGCTTTCTCTAACATTAATAATAATGGCTAATCTTTGTTAGGAGCTCTGGTGGCTTAGTGCCTAAGGCATTTGACTGCTAACCAGAAGGCTGGTGGTTCAAACCCACCAGCAACTCCTTGGAAGGAAGATTGGGCAATCTACTTCCATAGTGATACTGCCTCAGAAACCCAAGGAAGGGTTGTGAGTCAGAAACAACTTGATGGCAGTGAATTTTTTTTTTTTTGAGAATCTTTGTTGAACCTCTTCTATATGATAAACTCTTCCCTCAGATGATTTCATTTAATCATCTGTTGTAGAGCAACATCATGAGTCTGCTTAAAGTAAAAGCAAAATAAAGTTTATTGAGGGATAGAGACTGTCCAGGCCAGGAAGATGTCCAGATTCATAGAGTAAAGATGGCTGCTCTGCCAGACAGTGAGGAAGAAAACGTTTCTGTACAATTGAAGCAGGAACTAAAAGTTACAAAACCATAATTCACTGAAAGACAAGTCTGAGGAGTCAGAGGCAGGCTATCTAAGACTGGGGGCACAGTGGGGATAGGTAGATATCATATATCTGAGCTTACGTGATTGGTGAAGGGTACACAGCTGCAAGGGTA